GTTTGCTTTAATTTCGGGTGAAAATAAAGACAAAAATTGTCCGACATTTGGATATTTTTTATTAAGTTGGTCCTTGATCTAAGCTTTCAGCTAACATGAGCCATCTTCAGAATGGTTATATGGACATTTCAACAAAGATATTCACCATCGAAGATAATATTTTGTTATGTTGACATAGAAGATTGATATGCGACGATAACGATCGCGGAATAGAAGACGCATGTCGTAATCTCAAGATGCGGTTCTAGAACGTTCTTTTTACTGGGTGTATATGCGAGTATCTGTGATTCTAATAATAAACCCACAACATATATTGGTTTTACTACAACCATGCTCTCCCGTAGATTTATCTGTCACCTTTCTAATCTTAGTTCTATTAAACAACTCTTCTTAAAAAACATAGCTATGTACATAATATTAGACAGATATTAGTTGATAACACAATACTCACACATACACACAGTAAAAAGAACCTTCAGATATTGGGGGCCATCTACATTAAAACAAATCAACCCACACTCAACAAAATTGCATTTTAAACTAGTTACAACACATTACATTGCATATAGACATATGGTTCTGTTTTTAATATTTCGATCTATCACGTGGTATGACGTCATAGAACCGTATCATGAATTTACGACCTGCATCTGCTATTCGGCGATCCTTATTGTCGCATATCAATCTTTTATGTCAACATAACAAAATATTATCTTATAATATAATCAGATTATTATTGCCACACCAGGATAAAATGATCTTCATGAAAAAAAGGATTCAAAAGTATCACAGCGATTAAAATTTTAGATATCTTTCGGCTGACACATCTTCAGAAAAAATAACATTGTTGGCAACAAAACTAAGTTGTTGAAAAGAAAAATTATTTTCAACAACTGGTGTTAAAATATACCAAAACTAGGGAACAAAAAAGTCAATTCCTAGTTAGGCGTTGGATTGTCGACTAGCTCCTCGAACAATGCCATGTGCTTTAATTCTCTCTGCCTACACAAGGCAGGACGTTGTATATTAATAACAACAGACTCCAAGATGTCCAAGTGAAGTCTTGTCCATGTCCTGTGCAAGGCAGAGAAGAACCCCAGAGAATAGTGGGTACAGAATAGAATTCCATAAATGCTCACCGAGTCTGAGGACACCCGGATGCTATAGGCTCATGTCTACTTACTTGACCCAGAACATGGTGGGCGATCCTAACCTCTAACCACTGGATAGTTCTGCCCATATAGTCGATCTCACATCGACATTTATATTGATAAACAACTAAACTCTGCTGATGAACAGGTAGGACATTCTTGTGACCTGAGGGAAAGCCCTTCTGATAGAAAAAATATTCCGGACAAATACGGCATTAAAACATCGTTTGATAGAAGAGGATATTTCATCGGCATATATTTGACTCACAGGACCAATCCACGGTATTCTAACATATACAGGACATTTAGGTGGACCATATACAGTGTAACCCGGATATAAGAGAGTTGTCGGGACCAGAGAAGTCTCTTATATCCGGGTTTCTCTTATATCTGGGTTTGGTCTATTTTGTTTAGGTAACTATGGGAACACTTCATATAACGCTTTTTACGTACAGAGCACTAGTTTATTTAACAGTTATAGACATAAAAAACACAGACAAAAATACATTTTCAATCAGTTTTCAAAATAATTCAATCAAAAATTACTTTTTCTTAAAAAAGTCAGTCATTTTTGATTGTATAGAAATTTCTTTGTTAGCATCATGAACACTTTCATACAGTCCGTAAATCATTTTCAATGCGCCATCAGGATTACTGCTTTTTGCTTCAAAGTAGGCTGTCAGAGTTTCAAGCGCATTCAATGCAGCCAGAGAATTTGGCACTGGTTTGTCACTTTCAGAAACTTCAGAACTCACGCTTTCAGCATCATCATCTTCGTCAAAATCTTGATCATCCGATTTTATACCACGTGTGATGTCCGTGTCAGTCAGTTCTCCATAACATTGTGTATGGTCGTCGAAGCTGATAAATTCGTCAAAATCTGTTTGCTTCATGCCCGATGGTGGAGAAACTTGATCATTTTCGTCGAGTATTTCTTCCACTTCAGCATGTGATTCAATGACAAAGCCGGCCTTTTTAAAACAATTTTGAATTGTTGACGGGTTTGACCATGAAAAGTGCTCGCTTCATCATGTGCATGGCCTTCAAAACAGTTATCTGCTTGGCCACCTCGAACAGCGGCACTGGTGGTGTAGCATCGATCGCTGCGATTTGCATTCGAACAAGTTCCCGATGATAATACACTTTGAATGGACGAATGATGCCTTGATCCAAAGGTTGAATGAGACTGGTGGTGTTTGGTGGCATGAACGACAATTTGATGTTTGACAGGTTTGTACCCGGCAGTAAGTTATGACAAGTTGCATTGGCCAAAAACAGAATAATCTTTCGATTTTGAGCAATCATTTTTCGATCAAGCGTTTTCATAACGTCAGTAAACAGCTGACTAGTCATCCAGGCTTTACGATTAGCGGAGTAAGAAAACGGCACAGTTTTGACATTTTTAAAGCAGCGTGGTTTTGCCGACTTACCAACAACTACAGCTTGCTGTTCACTGCCGTCCATGTTTGTGAACTGAAGCATCGTGAGTCTGTCTTTGGGAACTTTTGTCCCATTTGACTGTTCGTCGCCGGCAAATCGCAAAGATCCAGACGGCATGGCTTTGTAGAAAATTCCCGTTTCATCACAGTTCCAAACATCTTTTGGATCATATCCACGAAAAAGTTGCGGCAAAACGTTTGTCACCCATTCGTTGCCAAACCGTGATCTGCTGACGTGAAATTTTTTGAACGAAATGTTATTGGCCTGCTTCCAGCGCATGAGCCAGCCATTGCTCGGTTCAAAATCAACTTCAAGATTTACTGCCAGTTGTGATGCTTTCTGCCTGATGACGTGATCAGTGACGGTAGCTCCATGAGCACATGCTTGCGTAAACCATTGTGTAAGCGCTTCGTTAACGTCCTTGTGCACGGATTGGTGCTTTCGTTTGCGATTAGTGTTTCCGTTCATTTGCATGCAAGATCTTAGATCGTCTTCTTTCTTGAGAATTTTTGCTGCTGTTGAATAACCGATTCCGTACTTTTTGGCTGCAGCGGCCAGTGAGTTTCTTCACTATGACATCGTCGATGAGCGCCAACTGTTCAGAAATGCTCAGAGTTTTTCGTTGAGACGCCGACATCACTAATCGCAATGATCGCAAGCAAACGGTTTTCAGTGGCAAAATTAACAAACAAACTTCTGACTCAACAGAACAGTGGGTAAAGTGAAAGTGCTGTCCAGTAAATGCAACGACAAGCAAAGTCGGCAAAAAAGCGGGCGGCGCTACCCTTAGACACACAAAGCAAAATCATAAGGTAGAGGGTGTCTCCTACAGACACAAATTGGACACACCGTGTCTCTAGACTAGTCATAATTAATTCATTGAACTTCACTCTCTCTCTAACTGACCTCTGTTTGACCGATTTACGACATCACACTGTCACTCAAAACGAACTCTCTTATATCGGGGAGGACGGGACCAGAGAAAATCTCTCTTATATCCGGGTTTTTCTTATATCAGGGTGTTTTATATCCGCGTCTAATTTATATACATTAACACAGGCTCTAATTTGGGACCAGAGAAAATCTCTCTTATATCCGGGTTTCTCTTATATCAGGGTCTCTTATATCCGGGTTACACTGTACCTAACTCCATTGGACTTTACAATTTTACGTTCAATGGTAGCTGTGACACATTCGGCGTAACCATTCGCTAAGAACAGCAGTTTAATTTTCCTAAGCTCAGCATCAAGCCTGCGCTCATAGCACAACATCAAAGCACGGTGAGTAAGGGTATTGATAAGACTGATTTTTCTGGTTTTAGGAGCAAATGAGTTTCAAGTGAAGTATAGCCCAGAAAAGGTGGGGTTCCGATAAACACTAGTGAGAAAACCCGAAGGTGTTCTTTCTATCAACACATCCAGGGAAGGTAACGGATTGTTCTCTTCTACCTGCGTGTGTGTGTATATATATATATATATATATATATATATATAGGAGCGTTCTTAAATTTAACTATTGATATATATTTATGAACATTCTTAAATTAAAAATTTTTGAAAAACTGACACGTCAGCTAAGTTTTCCTTTTGTCTTTATTCTTATATTTTTATAAGTAAAACGGAAGAAGACAACTAGTGGATTAGAATTCATCCGTTGATAAAGCAAATTTTCTTTCATCTGCTACAGATTTTACTTTTTTTTTAATAGATTTTAAAAGTAGCGTAAAAGAGTCGATTATTTTGCCTGAGAGTGTTAAAATTTTTTTTTTCCATTTTGAAATCAATTATAAACATTAGTCGTACTTAGGCGCTTGGTTTTGAAATTTGGTCTTTATATCTATCGAATTTAACTCAGAGGAAGAGTTATTAACAGTATGGGCGAAAATGAACAACTACTGTATGAGTGAAAAATACTTTTTCCCAGGTGAAAGGTTGATAAAAATTTATGAGGCAAAGACAAACACAAATAAAAGGTAATTGCCTGTGACCTGTTCTAGCTGTCACTTTTAACAAAGTGTGGTTTTCGGGTGTGTTACTTTAAATAATAGATCAATGAAAAACAGCAAAACTGCAGAATTACGGACATGTCGTCTGTCAATGATGAAAACTGAAATCATTAGTTGCCTTTTAAGACTGTCGATAGCATTTACTAATTCGACTGTAAAAATAGTTGCTTTAAACCCGCTTGAACTGCTTTTGAAAAATTTGCAATCATACGTGTATCATTGTAATAATAGATGTAATGTGATTATTTCACATTTAGCAAAGACTAGACTGAAATCCTGGATCTTTGGTCACAGTCTGAAATTAATATTTTTCACCTGTTAATTTGCAGGAACTTTCAATCTGTAAAAATGTAAAAATTATTTAGAAGAAATCATTTGGATACCAATGTTTCTCATGCTCGCACCTGCCATGGCCAGCTATGTCTTCGAACTTCGTAACCTCCCACAATTCGATAGTTGCGTTGTGAACCAGATGGTCGTGTTCCACATTTGTCTGGCATTGCCAATTCTGCCGTACAATTGGTAATCGCTGCAAAGTAAAGAAGGAAAAGGATAAAAACTAGACAAAGTTGTTCAGGATTTAATAAGGAAATGAATACTATAAAATATTAACGTTTAATTGAAATAACACACTCATTCTTTCTTGCACCCTCCATTAAAATATATAGAGCGTCTTTTTTTTAAAAACAAGTCAACTAATTGCTGTGCAACACCATATCAAACTATTAAATTAGTAACAGCTAATTAACATTGTTAACTAATTAAATTTGTCTTATGAGAGAATGCTGGTTGAACACTAACACTTACCCGGTCAATGATATTTCCTGTATTTATAAGAATAATATGTATAGCAGCAAAATAAAATATTTTAGCGTGCGTGTGTATGTTTATATGTGAAAGAGGGAGTGTTATTCTCTATTTCCTTCTTGGGGAATGTATATGAATATCTGTTTGAATGCACATGGTTAGAGACAGCCGTAGGCTTGAGTGAGTTGGTGTTCATATGTCCAGTGATATTCTCTTGCATATAAAACACCTCGTATAGATAAAAACGAGGTTGAATAGTTGTATATTATTATTCGAATTCCCAAAGAATTTCAATTAATACTCATCACATAGATGTATATTTCTGTATTCAGAGTGCAGTTAGCCAGAGTGGAATTAGCCTACATTCTATGTAGTCACATAGTAAACAGTTTTTTGAAAAAAAAAAACAAAAAACTAATAGCGAGTTTATTCCTCATTGCATGGCCCATTACAGATATCTATGTATTCGAAAAAGGGTATTTGGTTATCTCTATAATCTATTGTTTAGTCAATATGTTTAAGCTCTCGATCTAGCTTTGAAGAGCGAGGAACGAAAACAGATAATGTTTTTTCTTGATTGTCTTCTGCGAAAATACTTTGTTTGGCTTAGGCCTTTCCCCAGAACTTTCTATTTTCCCCTTTCATTCTAATGCATGATGGCAGGGGCTTGGAGCACCTGTTATTCCCAAGCAGTCACCATCTAGGAATTGCCCAGGTTCAACGTTGCTTAAATTCGGTGATCGGACGAATACTTGTGCTTCAATGTGATATGACTTTTTCTATTGTAGTTTACAGTATATATGATCCCTTCTTTTTCTCCTTGCTCTTCGATACGAATGTCTGTTTCTATGGCTATAATAACATTATGTACTTGCGGTTTAAGGAAAAATAAAAATACGTACTACCCAGCGCTGGGATTTAACATGCAACCTTCAGTCAACTAGCTAGAAATTTTAGATTAATGGAGATATCACCCCTGTTCACTGGAATAAGATCACCAAGTGGCACACTATAAAATCCTAAGTCTGGGGGGGGATTCCCTAGAGATAGGTTTAGTTAGGCAGGCTCTTTAGCGATCGACTAGCGAGCTCTGCAAGAGTCTGGTAGTTAGGTAAAGGTTAAACAAGATGTCTAACGAAGCAGTGAACATGGACGCACAACTGCGCAAGGAAGCTATCCGATCGATACATTCGTGAGGTCGACTGACGATATGTGTTAGGCGTTTCGGCGGCATTTCGAGAGCCTCTTTACCAAGGAGCCTGAGTTTCGCAGCTATTTGGCTGACTTTCTTCGGCTTTCGTCGACTGAAGCGGCTAGCTGCGAGGGTGAGATCACGGAGGGGGAAGTCTACTTGGCATTGAAGAGTGTCGGCAGTGACATGTCTCTGGGACTGGGTGGTTTACCCTATGAATTGTACTTGAGGCTGTCGCACATCTTTGTGCTGATTTTGACTGTTGTGTTCAACATCTGGTTTCAGCAGGGGTCCATCCCCAGTTGGATCACCAGGGGTGTGGTCACGCTGTTGAAAAAAGGCAAAGATGGAGAGCGGGAATTAGATGATTACAGGCCCATAACTTTGCTAAACACATAGTTAAAGATTTTGGCCAAGATCCTGACGGAGCATTTGCAGTCTGTTGGGACTCGATCAAACTTGTACTGTGAGGGGACGAACAATTCAGAGCAACCTGCACCTGATCCGAACGATCCTAGAGGATGTAAAAGCCAGCGAGCAAGCCGCGTTGATCAATTTGGATCAGTCCAAGGCATTTGATAGAGTCGATCATCAGTACCTGACTGCTGCCATGCAGGCCGCCGGACTCCAACCCGACTTCTGTAAGTGGATTAGCCTCCTGCATCGCTCTCTCAGTGCTATGGTACAGGTGAACAGAAAACGGTCGCGCGCTTTTGCGTTGTCTCGGTCGGTTCGACATGGTTGCCCACTGTCGCCTCTAGTTTACGTTTTGGCGTTGGAGCAGTCAGGCCCTACGTGTAATCGCTGTCCCTGGTGGAGCTCGAGCCAAGGTTTCCGTGTATCCATTTCGTGTCGTATAGCAGCAACATTGAAGTGGTACAGAAGGCGCTTGAACGGTACGAAAAGGTCACGTGGGTCAAGATTAACTGCAATAAGTTTTCCGGATTGCGGCTAGGTTACTGAAAGGAGGTCGCTCTTTCGGCTGAACGGACGGTTCTGTTTGCATTCTTGGAGTGTGGTTCGGACCCGACCTCCAGCTGGAGAAAAATTGGTCAGAGGTACAAGCAAAAGTCGGCGTGTCGGGCGGGACTTACGCCTTTCCTCTTATTCGTTACCGTATGGCTGTACTTCCTCTTTGCAATGACCATAGGAAACGATCGAGAGCTTGCTGTTCACCCTTTTGTTGGGTGGTCGCAAATAGAAGGTCCGCAAATAATGCTGTGTCCAGCGTCCGTGTCATGGAGGGCTAGGAATTCCACACTTGGTGAGTCACCTGTATTGCACGATTTCCTGCGCTGCTAGTTCCCCCTGTGAATATATGGTATTGTGGTATATGTAGGATTGAATGGTGATGGATGAGTTCTTTTGGTAAACGGATAAATTGTATCGGATGAATCGCTCGTGATCGTGATTGACTAGGATAGTTAGCGAAGATAAGCATTTTCCCACTCCCCCTTTGGCCATGTGCCAAAATTATTGCATTTTATACAGTAATAAATATATTTTTTGCCTGTTGCCAAACCTCTAGGCTAGGAAAATCCCGCGTAAAAACGGCCTTGTGCCATATACCACCTTTTGGGGAGATAACGGGTATCATTTTATTTTTGTCTGCTGCATGTACAACCTTTGCGACTCAGTTTTAATAAAAAAAAAACACTGAGCGAAAACAAAAAAGAAAGAAAAACAAACATTAAAATAAAGCAAACAATACTCCACCACTTTTGTCAGTTGGTGGTTTGTTGAGAAAGTCAAAGGAAGTGTGAAAGTGAAGAAAAACTGAAGACTAGGAAGTTAAAGCATGCATAAACTATAAAAACAAAGTCTATTACTTTATGTAAACTACAAGAAATTTCGGCCACAGAGAAGCGGAAAGATTAAATTAAGCACTAAGATATTGAAACCGTTCTGTGGTGAGAGTGAATGTTTCTGGTACAGAAAAATTAAACTAGTAGCAAAGCTTCATGTATATAACCTGTCTTATACCATTGTACTGCGAAGGTGAATCTCTTGCATTATATCTCGAGATGAAGAAGCAAGAACAACGTGATGCAGATATGATAGAGCTGAGATTGAAGGAGTCGTTCAGAAAGGGCTATTTGTTGCATATACCAAATTGAGCAAAGTGGCATAGTCTGGTGAATCGATTGATGTGTCCATCGACAATATCAGGAAGATATCAAGGATTGCAGGATTTGTGGAAAGGACCTTAAAAGGATAGTGAAAATAACCTTTATACATGGGTTTCTAAATCATATCTTTGCAGAGATGGATGAACCGATAACTCGTGCCAGAGTATACTGACCAGGAGCACATGTAAGCGACAGCAGCTGCCGAAGGGAGAAACAGCGGACAGCGTCAAGTTTCAGAAGAGGAGCCCAGAGGAGTGAAGTTGCGATTTTTCAGATGCTAGTGTCTCGACACGGTGAAAAACTGTAGAGAGGAGATACATGATATCTGCTACCGTTGTGGTCAAGTGGAAAACGAGAAAAGGGGAGCGACATTGTTGGTTGCTACTACTGCTGCCCAATAGAGGCGCCCATGTTTGCATTACTGCAGATCGATTTGCCCATAGTGTGAAAGGCCCTAGTTGACACTGAATGTACAAAAGAGGAAAACAATATCCGTGCAACATTTGGTGGCAACCATTGGATAGTTTAGCATGGAAAGAAAAGTCGTCAATGATAAAAAAATACCGAGTTATTACAATCAGTCGTTGCAAGGAGAGGCTAAATCAGAACTCGAAATGGAGGTGAAACACTATTGGTGAATGGATTTTGATGGCTTGTACAGGGAAATATCTCTATCTGTATAGAGAAAAATTTCCGTCGCTATTGGAATATCGGGAATTAAATGAATACAGCGCGTGTAACACAGGAGCCAACATATGTGTGTGGGGAGACCATGCGTGAATGGTGACTGAGGCAAAGTGTTTAAACAATTGTTGACCTATAATCTGCCTATCTATAAATTCAAATTTCGAAGAAGTTGTGTACTAGTCTTACTTATTATAAAACGCAGATTGTGTGTGTGTGTGTGTGTGTGTGTGTGTCTGTAACGTTTATATATTGGATCGGATTTCCTACATTTTTCAACCGATTTCAACAAAACTTCACAGGACTACATAAAATTACCTTGTGTGGTTCTAACAGCGCCAAAAATGGGAAAAATATAATTGTTTTTGCACAAAATCAATTTGAAAACACGATTAAGAGACATCGTGAAAATGGAAGGGGGACAACTCACATCGGATTTCCTATATTTTTCAGCCGATAAAACAAAACTTCACTTTTTTTTTTTTTTGGCAGGTAGTGTTTCTTATTCTCTTGCACACTTTTTTCTTTATTTTTAACACTCAGAATGCTTTAAAAATTCCATTTACAAGACAATTATTTATAATAAAATTCTATTCAATCTCCCAGACTCATAATGATTGAAAACAATGTTTTTGTTTGAGTTTGGGTTTGACCAATTCGTAAAAAAAAAAAAAAAAAAAAAAACTAATTAAGACATGCGTGTCCGTCAACCTTAAACAATAATCTTTGTCAATTTTATTTTTCAGTCTTTATGATGGTGGATACTTGATCTATCTCTTACTGTTATATCCCCGGGCAACGCCGGGCTCTACTGCTAGTTAAATATAAAGGTCAAACATACTGCCTAACTAGAGTGGGATTTGGCCTGAACTCTGCGACGAAAATCATGTCGGCATTCCTTGATTGTGGAAAAGACAATTAGTTCATATATTGACGGCATCCTAGTGGACGAAACAGCAGGTACAACGGAAGAGGTGATAAGCCAACTTAACAAATTTAGGCTGACAGCAAAACAGTCTGAGCCATTGGATGTTAGGTCATCATTGGCATTTGAACTGATGAACGATGAAACAAGAAAGTATTTCGGAAATTAAATGAAATTCCTAATGTTAAAGATGATTTGCAAAGAAAGCAACTAACAGGGTACTTATCAACTTCCTACATATTGAGAATTGTTAACAACATGTGGGATGTTAGTTGGTCACAATCCTGTTGCCGGGTGGTTGCGAACTGCATGTAACTACATCAAAAAGCAGACTGTTGGAATGAGTGAATTGGGAAAATAAGGTCAATAGAAGCTCTTTATAGACGTGAAGAGACAGTACTAAGTGAGAGGTAGTTGGCACGTGCCCAAATTTGAGAAAGGAGTTGTATGTTGCGATACCTTCAGTATCGCATTGGGTGCTCTCTTGGAAGTTGGAGGTGTCATTGCAGAAGATACTGCTAGAATACGAAACTGACTGACACTTTTCACAGCTTTCACTTCCAATTCCAAGCAGACACGAAACGTGGAGAAAAATTGGAGGTGGTTAGCTGTTGACGTAACCCATTATCAACAACTGTCCTTGACTATAGTTGATTTTGGACCTAGACGAGTAGCTGTCCAGCTGAACATTTATTCAGAAAATGCAACTGAAATTTTAAAGGTACTGGATGATATAGTTCTGGAAAGCGGTCCGAGAAATAAAGTGATAATGGACAAATGCGTCTCATTTTGTTTAGCGACTCTGAAAGAGATTTCTATATAACTTGACTTTTTTTTTTCGGAGCAGCATAAGCCCAGTGGTAAAAAATTAAGGCTACGACAGAAAGGAGCCCTATTTTACCAATGAAAGCTATATTTTGGTACAATATTTCACCAAAGACGGGACAGGATGGAGAATCAATGTCACACAGAGCAGTATTTAAATATGAATGGCACAATATCCACAAACTACACCTTTGACCACTGTAAATGAAAAACAGGCGTCTGTACATATATGTGTGGGTCAAACCACCTGATTCCCGATGTACTAAACACCACAGCATATAGTCTGAAAATAATATAACTGTTGATAGTGTTTCCTGACATATCTTGGGTGTTTGAGTCATCAAGTGATAAATCCAGTGACGAAGACCAAAAAGGCAAACACCTTAGGACCGCGAAGATCACAGCGAGAAAGGCGCCCACGTCGTTGGATGAACGGTTATGTGGCTAGCTAGCGATCAAAAGTTGAAGAGAAAAATAAAAATAAAATGTACTGTCCAGCGAAGGGATTAATTTCAAAGCTTTCAGTTAACCAGGTAGAATTTAGCCTTTAATGGATATGCAATCCCTGTTGACTGAAATGAGATCACCTAGTGGAGCTCTTTAATAGCCAAGCTGTTTTGTTTCTCGACAGTTTTTTTTTTTTTTGGTCAAGCAAAATTCTTCTTTGTTTTCAAAATTCTTCTTTGTGTCTTAGTTGATTGACTGATCAATCGTTCACCTTTAACCTTAGTACGAACAGCGAGTCATAAATTAGAAGAAAGTAAAAACTTATATGGATAAGAATATCTAATCAGTTAACTATCAGTTTAAAGGAATCTAAAATTTGTGCAATATCTATAAAATGATTTATTTAACAATCTTAGCAATCTTGCTTCCCTTAATTAAAGCAATATTTCTTTTATCAAAAGATAATGGTAATTTAAATCGAAATGTTTTGTCCAAATATCGTTCATATAACATTAAAAGTCACGAGGTATAAAACCATGTTGCTTCTATTCTTACCTTTGTTATGCCGATTAGAAGTGGGACCCTTTTTCGTTTCTGCAGGCTCATCAGCAACTAAGACAGAAAGTGTGTACTTCTTTTCGCACGTTCCCGCAACAGGTCGACACTTTCGCGTCTGTTGGATGTAACTTTCACCGCACACGTTTTTCCAGCGAGAACGACATTGGCGCTTTCGTTTCTGTTTGCAATCCCGAGAACACGGAGACCACGCCGTCCATTTGTTATAGAAGGCATTCGTAATGATTTGCTGTACTTCTTTTGCTCGCCGTAAAGGAGTAATAACCTAAAAATATATAATTCATGAGAAAAGAGAAAAAAATATACGCATTTTTGTAGCTGGGTCGTTACTTTTAGATTAATCGATGTAACGTGACAAGAACAATCATAAAAATCGTTTCAATTTGAAGATAAGAAGCAAATTCTTCACTTAAATTATAAATTACGCAGTAATGTATAAATACACTTGCAACAAGTTTTGAATAATAATAAAAATATGTTAAAAACTAATTAAATATCTCAGGAATCAGCGCTCCAGTTGATTTCGATGACTTTTCCATCACTTCTCACACTTTACAACATTAGGATTGAAGTTTTATAATAAGGGAGTAAAAACACCGTCGATTTCATATCTTTGGTAAGTAACCAAGGAAGCGGATTAAAATAAGAAAATTTGCCTTTTCATTGAATTCACATTTAAATTCTATGTAAATAGTTTTGTTTTTTTAAATTAACTCAGTCCAATTATTATACACTTATATATACTTTTTGGATATAATAATTTCTATTATTAACGTGATAGATTGCCTCTCTCTCTCTCTCTCTCTCTCTATATATATATATATATATATATATATATATATATATATATATATTGTGCAAATACAACAAAGAGTGCGATTTTGTATATTAAGAAGAAAATCTTCAAAGTTCAAAGTTGAATGTAATAAAGCTTATAAAAATGAACAAAGTCATATGTTAAAGAATAATTTGGAGTTATACATTCCTAAAGTAGATTTATATATAAAAAAAGCAATGCCGTCGTAAAATCTACAATAATCCGGTTATTAAAGATAATTCAAAGTGAGTTTTATACGAGTCCTTAGAAGTTGAAGTTCCTATTGAATTCATTTTTGATTGAAATAATTCAGGAAATGCTTAGTGAAGAAATAATCAAAATCTGAAATTTCTACAGAGATTATTGTCAATACAGAAAATTATTATTATTTCGACTTTATTGTCAAATTTACGAATTTAACTTAAGAAAACCTGAAACGAGTTAAACAAATAGTTATTCTTTCAAAAAACAAAACAAAAGAAAAAATGAACACAATGTATTTTAATGAGCAAATATTAGAATGCCAAATTAAAACTAAAACAGTATTTACTTACAACAAAACTAGTTTAGTTTTTTCCTAACTAAAATAAGGTTTCTTTTTTTGATAATGACTACAAGTGTGATGTAAATCTCTATACCACAAACGCAAGCATGGAGCGGAAGTATAAAATGATCAAATACCGTCTATGGTCTTTCATAGAATATGCATTAACAAAGGTTTTCTGTGTAAATACACATTGTTTTATATCTGAATATGACTTTCTTCTAAACAGCTAATCACGGAGAAAATCTGCAAAGAATCTCCTAGAATATATCCATATTCATTTAACATATATTCTCACTGTGACCTTTCTGGTATGGATGATTTTCACGGTTTTTCTGATTCAACCTTCATTATATTCTATATATAATGTTCGAGTACCGAATAAAATAAGTATAATGATAGTAAAGAAACTGTTTCAAAGAAAACCCAAACACCAGCTGATTTTTTTTCTAGAGGCAGAGAAATAAAATGCAGTGTAAACAGCAAATGCATCTATAATGAAAGCCGTTAAAGTTCTAATAAGTAAGATGCATGTGAACGATGAATGTAAAGCCTGATTTATCTTTTAGAATCATGTTTTCTGTCTCTTCCCCAAGTCGAGAACCAACATTTTTCTCACTTATTTTTTTGAATGAATCCTGATGTTTTAGGCAATTGCGTTGTAAACATAACAATGACAATATGTATCAGGCGCAATAAAGTGACTTTTTCCTAGGTAAGAATTGCAAACATGAATCTCATAAATTTGTATCTTGTTTTTTTTTCAATTTTTAAGTGCCCGTATATACTTAGAAACATGCACACACTCAAACACAAATATTCGCCCCTCCACACACACACACACACACACACACACACACACACACACACACACACACACACACACACACACACAAAAATAATAAATATATATATTGTGTGTGTAAGCGTAGGTATACCACATTCTTTACTCTGTATTCTTGTGTGTGTACATGCATACATACATATGTTCAGTCATATATACGAAGGAATATATATAATATATAACAAATGGTTGGCTTCTCGCTTTTGCTAGGATAGCTATATCTATTCCTTGCTGTAGAATCTCGCACAAGCACATTTGTATTTCTTCTACACCCTCAGAATTTATACGGCAGATATATGGAGCTCGTTTAAGTTGAGGTTTCTGCACATAATCTCGCGTGATCAGTAGGTTAACAAGGCCAGTACTCTCAAACACTTTGTATCGAAGTTACAGGTCATCGGACTTGTAACTTCGTGCTAACACAACCATTGGCAACATTTGAACATTTCTACCAATGAATACCCAAGCTTGGGTTAAATTTTCGTATAATTTTCAAGTACTCTCCAACAGTGCCGCAGGCTGAGATCATTTCCATAGGAAGATGTTATTTACTCTTTAAAACCGGTCTTCATGACTGAAACGCTATCGTTATAGCCACTCGATTATTACATGCTCATATATATATATATATATATATATATATATATATATATTCAAATGAGTTTTATTAAAGAAAACACACAATTTATGTCTACTATATTTTTAAGAAGTTTTTATGGTGGTTGAGGCTAGTCGAAAGCTCTGAACCTATACAAAAAATAACACGAACTGTGGACAATTCTTTACGATTGCAACACCAATGTATGGAAGCGAATTTGTCAACTATAAAAATATAAAATATATGATAAACATAATATCAGAAAAAGGACTGGGAATAAATAACAAAATTGTAATTTTTATAATTTGATTTTTAAAGTTGAAGTTAATCAAAATAAATTCCACTTGTTAGCTAATATAAATATAAAATGAAGGTATACGGTTAATACTTGACGCCTGACACGTGCCCAGAAAGGAAAATACTGTGGGAGTTTTTATAATTTTTGGTTATCGTCTCATGTAAGCTCCTACTTTAAATTCCCGCCATGTGCTATATTCTGTTCGAGTGGGTACAGAATAAAACTACATTTCTTATGCCACGTTTATTATGACTATCCCCATTCTATTAGAAGGGGGGATGCTTAAGGTTAATCCCTGACGTCTGAGGCATCATGAAAGGGAGAATGAGCAATTTTTGAATCTACCCCAATATACACATGGTGAAGGGGCATACATTAAATCGTTTCTATGTCAAATTTTCGTTTTTGCAGCGGTAAATAAAAAACACATTTAATAATTCTAGCGATTATTTTAATTGGATTTGATCTAAGTTTTTCGACATCTAATTTCATCACCAGAAGGAATTAATTCAAGATCAGTCTGTCACCGGATAGGTTCATTCGATAAACATCGGACACCATTCTTTGCCTGTATGTCTGAGCATATGTATATACATATTTGCAAGTTATACATATGGATTTAAAATATTTTTGCATATGTTTATACATCACTTATGAATATCAAGCTATTTGTTAGGACATTTGTTGAACTGAGCCAACTTGGGCGTATTTAGTAGGAAACTTTCACCTGGTTTCTAATAATCTATTATCAATGAATTGCATTAAAAAGTTAAGAATAATTGCACATACGGACAGAACCAAAGACCATATAATTTTCACTTTCAACCGAATTCTGCTGCATTTTGGAATGATATTGTATTTTCAGTGATCTTTGTATATCTACCAAGAGGAAACCGCATTCTGTTCGGTTATTTAGAAAGCAATCATACTAATAATGAGCAGTATTGATAAGTATTTATTCTAAATGTAGTATGGAATTCACCTGAGATGGAGACTGTTGAATTATTTGCGCAAGATGTGAATAGACTTTATATTGGAAACGTACCTTAAATGAAAGAATACTGCATTGTTTGTTCCTTCGTTTACAAAATCGTTTATCCTTGATAGTAGTATTTCCACAGTATCGAGGTTCTACGCAGTTTCTCGTTCTGTATTGTTCGCACCGGCGAGAACAGTGCGACCAAGTGGCCCACGCCGAATAATGTTCACACATTACAGTCGACGATCCGCTCTGTTTGCGTTTAGGGATTATATTACCTTCGTGATCAACTTGGGACATATTACTTGATGCTGTATACTTGTGCGAGCCTCGAGAGATAAGATGTCGGCCACGTCTTCTCAAGCTCTGAAAAGAAAAAGCATAAGAAAATATTATATAATGAAAATAAAAGACCTCTTTTCGAATTAGTCCTCGTTATCGTATAAGAGTTATGGCATCATAAATTTTTCGAATGTAAAAATAATTCTAAGATATAATGTGTGATGCAATATTTAATGAAAACAATTCAATTTAAACTAGGCGTTCTCTTGGCAACAAGTTGAGCTGTGTATGTGCAATACATCTAAAACAAATTACTTATTTTTATTTTAGATATAATACCTTATGGTGTGTGTACATTTATTTTACTGATGATGCAGTTTATGGTACGTTTATTAAGAAAATCGATGAATATCAATCATAACAGCAATGCAAACAATTGTTGTCAGGATGGCATTTTATATATATAGAACCGGAAATGAAAGTTTCAATATCTAAACATCGTTATACTGTTAATGTATTTATTAGTTTTCATGGACAAATTTTCGCTGGTCAGGTATTTGCAATAAGAATTTGCAAAGAAATTGACATTGAATAATTTAAAGTAAACTGGTATTTGGTTGTCTATCTTCAAATCAGTTGAACTTGGACAATTTTCACGCTCCCTGTTCTCCAAATTAAACAGAATTTCCTGTAATACCAGCTTCGATTTGATTTGTTAATAAATCAAAATGTTTTAATATTTTTAAAGAACGAAATTAAATATAATTAACAATTTTCCGACTGAAAAGAGAGGGCATGCAAAAGAAATTGAGGCGAAACAATTATATTTAGATATTTAAATGAGCAAAAACATTTATGAAGATATAGTTAGCTATATGACTTTACTTTTACGACTATTACTAAGCCATCGTGCTTTGTAATGTTGTGTATTGGATCAACCATAATGCTTTGTCTTCCGCCTTTTACTTTGTCACTTGATCAAAACTGACATGTGTAGACTGGCATTTAATCAAATTATTTAACATTCAATCATTAAATAACATATGAGATTTATAAACTGATATGATACGTTATGCATTGTTACACAAAAAAAAAGATAAAAAGAAAAATTGTATTTGAAAACAGAACAAAATCCCAGTATTCAGTATTTCTTCCGATGCTTTAAAATGAAATTTAACGCCTTATAGTTTGTTCACAGAATATCTCTTCATTAGGAAATAATTTTCATTAAAGTTTTCGGAAGACAGTTGAAATGATCGAAACCAATGACTATTCATTTCATTTTTGCGTTTGAATTTCCTTTTTTATCTTCTCTGCCACTATTTCAATACAAATGATCAAAAGAGTTTTTTAGTAGGTTTTAAATATAGCAGATTGAACATCTCTTTTCTTTCTATTCTGTTAAGATATTTATATTGCTGAAGATGACTTTAAAAATCAAAATCATATAGAAAGTAATTTATTTTAAAATGTCAAATAAGCTTTTAAGTACATGTACATGCAAACATAAACGTGTATATATCTATATCTATATGTATCTATCTATATATATGTGTGCGTGTATGTGTATATGTGAACGCTAATGTCGGAGTAAACGTTCATTGCTCAAAGAAGGCGATGCCTTTAAAGGAAAGCGTTTTAAATTAATCATCCATTATTCTTATATTTTTCTTTGTTTATTATATTATTTGATATGTTATCATGCATTCATACAGTATTTAATATTCACATTTTATAATCTTTTTTACATATTTGTTTATCTTTAAGTCGTGGTATACAACGACTTTTCTTTTTGTTTTAAATAAGTGTTGTTTAAGTGTAATTTATTAAGAATATCTCACGAAGAGTTATATATTTTTAACGCATTCTATTTATTAAATTAATTATATAGTGGTATGAATAATTTTTGTCTATTTATATTTAAGAGTAACATTTTTCTTTTTTTTTTTTCTTTACGAAAGGGGTCGTAATTTTCGAAATTGGATGTAAATAGAGTTGTAATGTTTATTTTGTTTATCTTTGGCTCATTGTCGCCGATTTCTTTATTATTATAATAATTATTATTCAAAGAATCTTTTAATAACATTTGAATAAATTTTATTCCCTTACATTTTCTTATTAATTTACATTATTCATTTAATTGTAAAGTAACGTACTTTCAATTTTGTTAGAAAAGCGTTCCTAGTTATAATGTTATTTTGTTCCGTTTTTACTACTAGAAAATGTGTTTTATTATTTATCTTTCAAATATCTTTCAAACAACAACAACAACAACAATAATAATAATAATAATAAAATTTTCTCTTATACTTTACAATAATTTTATACTTTAGTATATATTGCAATATATTAGCACATTGATGACGATCTGTTTACTCCGACATCCAATGTAAAATATATATATGTTTTATGTGGGTAGAAGTAGTACCTTTGTTGCTTGGCTGCTGCACTTATTATTAAGGTGGACGGGCAACACTGGTCTTCATCCATCCCCTAAATCTCCACGTGCCATACCCTGTAAACTGCTTCAGCAGGCAGGCTAAATCACAAGGGTAATGTTTGCACCGCATTATTAGGCGGGTAATCTGTACAAGCGGACATATATATATATATATATATATATATATATATATATATATATATATATATATATATATATATATATATATAGGTATGGTGTGAAGCGAGGCTAGAATCTCTGCAGGACAAAAACAAAACTCTCAAAGGGTGGATGAACCTTTTTGGGAGGTCAACCGCCATATAGCTATCTAGCTATATTTTGGTTGGTATACAGATGCGCGTTTAACCCACTGGGAGTGGGACCTCCAAAACATTCTGGCAGTTTCCAAGGAGAAGGAAACGCTGATGAAAAACCTGCCTCATGGCCACACTAAATATCTTGCAACTGCCTGTCTCTGAGCAATGTGGCTCCGTGGTGAGAGTCGATGCAGTGTTGTGCAAGCTGTATCTAACCTTAAAACCCGCACGGGCATTACTGACAACTTACCAGCTTATAGTTTTTTTTTTCCAGTACAAGTCCGATGGCGATGCAACGACACGTATAGGTGTGGTGGGCTGGAAGTGCGTAACTGCTGACCTGCACGTTTTTCTCACCAGAAGATTGCTGGAAGGGTTTAGAAAGGTGACCCCAAAAATTCTTCATCTGGCCAGTATAGCGTGACTGGCGGATGTCTGTTTAGCGCTTGAACAAAAGTAAAGAAAAAAACGAAAAACAAAAAAACTAATGCTGAAACTGAAACTTTCTTGTTGGAACGTACGGACTCTCGTATCCTGAACAGCTCTGGTGTCTAGGGAGTTAGAAGAGATATTCTATAGATGTAGCGGCTCTCTCGGAAACTCGTTTAGCTCGTGATGGTCAACTTCAAGAAGTTGGAGGTGGCTACACTTTCTTCTGGGAGGGAAAGTATGCTGAGGAGGATAGAGTAGCTGGTGTGGCTTTTGCTGTACGTAGCACACTAGTAGCAAATCTTCCTGAACTTCCTAAATCTACATTTGAATGGATGGCGATACGCTATAATCATAATTGCCTACGCTCCAACAATGGACAGTACCGACATTTTAAAAACTCAACTCTATGAATCTTTGAGAAGTATACTCTACATGATTCTAAAAGATGACAAGATTGTCCTCCTTGGTGACTTCCACGACCAAGTAGGCACAGATTGGGAGACCTGGAATAGTTTCGTGAAATATTGAGGGCCAAGATGAAGTCAACAACTAGACGTTTGAATGTCGCGAAGTTGCACTCCCCGGAAACACAGGGATCACTAAAAAACGACTTGATACATGATACATCTTCATGGGACTCTTTGAAGATGAATATATATGAAGCGGCTGATGAAGTTCTGGATAAAATGCCAGCAAAACATCGAGACTAGTTTGATGAAAATGGTGAGGCTATCAAGGAGAACATTGCAAGAAAGAATCAGATACAAAGTTCGATGTTGCAAAAAGGCCTGTCCAAAAAACAACAATAAACCATACAAGGAGTTTAAAGCTGCAAAAGTAGAAGCTCAACGTGCTCTTCGAACTATGCAGGGAAAATGATGGTTAGAGCTAGCAGATGAAATACAGAATACAGTGAATTTAAATCATACAAAGCAGATGTACTACTTTATGAAACAAGTATTTGGACCCAATCCACCAAAATTTGGTCCTCTCAGGACAGAGGACGGCAAATGTGAACCCTGAAGTTCTCGAGAAAATACCCCAAAGACCCATAGTAGTAGAACTTGACAGCCAACCATCGTTAGGCGAGGTTCTGCGTGGCATAGAGGGACTCAACATGGGCAGAGCTGTTGGGGTTAACGCCTTCCTGCTGAGATATTCTGTTACGGTGGAACACATTTAACTTATACATGATCTTATTGTAAAGATTTGGATAGATGGAGAAGTAAAAAAAAGATTGTAGGGATGCAACAATGATACCTATATATATGTGTAAAGGTGCCCGGGAATTATATGGTAATTATAGAGGGATTTCTTTCCTTTCTTCGGCAGATAAGATCTTAGCCTCTGTTCTGCTATTAAGATTAAACCAGAGTATAGCGTGGTTTCTGCCAACACAGAGGAACTGCAGATATGATTTTCACAGCACGACAAATCCAAGAAAAGAGCTGTGGACAACAACTGAACCGTTATCAAATATTAGTAGATATGAGGAGCTTTTGACACTGTTAATCATGCGGCTCTTTGGAAAATCTTCTCAAAAGTGGGCTGTCCCCCCACCACCACTTTTTATATATATGTATCTATATATATATATACATAGAGGTCTAGGGGAGAGTGTGGGGATTCGATAGAAACAAATGACATTGCAAACCAGCTTAAACATGGTTGACATTTCTATCGGTAATGTTGAGAATTATTTATGTTTTCCACAAAAAAAAAGAATCTTCAGAATGTTTGCTTTTTATTAAGCTCATTTATTAGATTCTCTTTTACTTTTTGTTTCTCGTTGTGTTTTCTTGCTGAATGTGCGTTTCGATCCTTAAAACTTCAATTAATTTTACTACTGACTACTACTTTGTTCATTTAGTCTCTTCGTCATTAGGTATGCCTTTGCGTGATATTCTGTTGCACCATTAATACCGACGAGTAAGCTCGAATCTTGTACTCGTAAAGTAAATGACAACTTCTTCAAAAAGTTATGGAATTGTATTTCACTCCACTCTATTTCGGATTTAATTTTTAGATGAAAAGTGGACTGACTCTATTCTGTTGGGCTTTTATATACCCAACATATACAAATATAATTTGAAGAAATAAACAAAAAGATACTGAAATATAATGGAAAAAAAAATATATATGTATTTATATCCGTGTGTGCTTACTTTTGTAAGCATATATATATATAATTCATATATCGAAAGAAATCGCCTATTATGTTAGATTCATTCAAATATTGTCGTTTTATATGCCGTTTCTATTTTTATGGTTTCTCTTAGAATTTTATTGCAATTTAAAAAAAATTTATTCTTCCTTCATTGCCCTCTTTAAAAAGAGAAAGAAGCAAAATTATAATAAGTTAAAAAAGTTGTTAGCTATTTCTTACGCACACGTTTATATATAAACGTGTGAATGTAAAATTTAAGAGAGAAAAGGGGTGGGGAATGGGGAAGACCGAAAAAGACAGCAAAATGTAAATAATAAAGTGTGAGGAGGGGAGAGTGAAAATGTTATAGCTCAAATAAAGACGATAAAAATATCGTAGATCATGTACTCTTTTACTGTTGGGCACGATCAAATAGCCATCTTCAAATGTATTAGTCGTCATGTTAATCCACAGAGAATATGATTAAGTGTACCTACGTTACCTGGTGTATCTTAGTTGAAGTGCGCCTACGTGTATTTCAGAAATATAAAAATATTACAACCAAAACATGAATGCACTGTGAAAACCAAAACAAACAAAAACTAGTAAATAGTTTTCATAAAGACAAATATTCACAGGCATATACCAACACACACACATACACATACACCACGCGTGCACGCACACACACACACACACACACACACATATATATATATATATATATATATATATATATATATATATATACATATGGTGTGCGCGTATGTAAATACTGACACACAGATGTATATACTTGCAAATAAACAAACCCTTTCACTCTCATGAACAAACTCATACATGGTATATACTCACATGAACACACACACACACACACACACATACACACACACACACCTATTTGTGTGCATGTTTCATAGAACAGTGTCTGAATGTCAGGATTGGTTAATTAAGCAGCAAACACATGGCTCTCAAGATGGCCGCATCCGGATGTTTGGCCGAGAAAAACCTGGCAAACCGCAAGGTTACCATAGGTTTTTGACGATGAAATTTTTAGTACTGAGCTAGATAAAACCAGTGCAAGTGTGTTGATGGGCGGTATGAGAACAGAAAGTCACAGAAGATAAAGAGAGAAAGCGAGAGAGAAAGAGAGAACGCGAGAGAGAAAGAGAGAGAGAGAGAGAGAGAGAGAGAAAAGACGAAGTAAAACTAAATAGAACAAGGCAAATTCCATGAAAAAAGTAAATACGACGCATATCTTATAAACGAAAAAGTTAAAAAGAAAATTACTCATCAGAGGTCTTATTCGAAATGTGAGAAGCCTGGTTTCAGTATGTCTTTAGATTTGGAATAAACTCTATGAAGTCGTTATCATTTAGCTCTTTTCTCTTTCTTCTACACATGTATAAACAACCATTCAGTTAGACTGTATAATAGAATCGTGTAAAACTATAAAACATAAAGTTTAAAGGGCAAATAAAGGAAACAAATAAAGAGGCCGCCAACATGCGATCAACGATTGGTTGTTCAAGTGAAAGATTCCCAAAAGCAAAAAGAAATGTTGTAAAATAGTCATACTTAAAGTATAAACCTATCTTGCGGACAGTTATCATTTTTTTTGCTTTCTTATTTCAATTCAATTACAGCCTAAAAATAATGGTAAAATGTAAAAGTCTTTCTGCTTCATTCTTGTGACGTCTATAGATCAAAGTTTTCCGAGAATAGATTCTATTGAATGAAATCACAGGCTCTGTTCTATGCACCAATCATTGAAGGTTTTCTGGATTAAAAATGATATTTCAACAGACGTAGAGAAAACTCTTTCAAATTATATAGTTTCGTGTTTCGATTGATGGTGCAGTGTGCGATGTCACAAGTCTTCTTTTTCTCAGTTTTGATATCCTTTTTATCTACCCTTTTCTATTCACTGATGTTTCTTTTTCTTTATTTTCTCTTTCTATAATTACAGGTTATTAATATCTGTATGAGGCTTACATTACGAATATGTTTTGGATAATTCGACAAGACAGATTGCTTTCTGTGTCAGTTATAGTGCTTATGTCCTTGTGGGGAAGGGATCTTCTTTTCCTTCCTCTTATACTAGACTGTAAACTCCTAACCCACTTCAAAACTTGTCTTAACGTTCCTTAAGGGTTTTCTATAGGATGCAATAAAACAGTAAGAAGACGAAAAAATATTGAACATTAATAAATCATATGTCAAATTCACAGATAAAATAAAGAAGCAGAATATTTGGACAATTTTACACGCTATATACCCAGAAAAGAAAACACTTATACGGACATAAATATAATTAAATAAAAAGCTTAATATTAATATCTTGTCAGTGGTCTTTAATGAAACTTGTATAAAAGAGGAATTGCTTCAAAAAAACACAATTATATATATATATATATATATATATATATATATATATATATATATATATATATATATATAATAAAAAAGGCTTAAACATGGTCATAATTTATTCCATTGGAATCGTAAATACGATCCAATTCACCAGACCTACAAATTCAAAAAGAAAACAGAAAAAACAACTCCGAAAATAAAAAAAAAAATTTAGAGAGAGTGTAAGTATGAGAGTGTGGGACGAATGTTAGAGCTAAAGAGAGTGGTAACGGACGAGAGAAGGTGGGAGGTTAAAACTTAACAGAGAGAAGTTTTAGACAGGTGAGTTAAAGACAGTTTAAGTGGGAGAAATATGAATGTTGTCGGATGTCTAATACATTAACGAAGTAACCGGAAAGGATACATTTTGTGGTGACATACACACACAATATACGATCTAATCTTAAAGATCAGAAGAGGAGGGAGGGAGAGGAAAAGAAAAGAAAAAGGGAAGAAAAAAAACCCTCTCTTTAGCTCTAACATTCGTTATCATAATCCTCATACTTACACTCTCTCTAAATTTTATTTTTTATTTCCGGAGTTGTTTTTTCTGTTTTCTTTTGAATTTGTAGGTCTGATGAATTGGATCGTATTTAATGGAATAAATTATGACCATGGAATATTAGTGCTTAAGCCTTTTTTATTATATCCTTACTCTGTCCTGGACATTGAGTTCTACCTGGATATTCCTCTTGGGATATATATATATATATATATATATATATATATATATATATATATATATATATATATATATATATATCATGGTATTATATATTCACCCACACACGTATATAATGCATATTACTAAAATTTATCGATTGAAAATATTGCAATAAAAATTTTCGAATAGAAATAGTAATGAATATTTTCTAAGTTGCGGAAGGAGCGTCAAATGTCATGTCAACATACTGCTTATCTGAAATTACCAAATGTACAATGATCGATTACATGAAAAAATATAGATATAGGTATAATGATGTTTAGTGTAATCTTATAACTGCTTTCGGTATTCGCAAAGGAAATTATATTGCTTACACGAAAAATGTTGAAAAGTGATTTTCTCCAGTGAATGTTTTATGTGCAGTATAAAACAAAGTATATTTCAGAGTTGGAAGAGTTCTACAGTTGGACTTAAATGAAAATTAAATGTATTAAATAATAGGAGTTAAAAAAAATGAAGTTTTCATTTGATGTGAACAAAATCACAAATCAGTGAAAATATTTAAAGCTTTCGTCATGACTATTCCCTATCTGTAACTAACCACCATCACTGGAAGGAAGTGATGCAAAAGATGGTTTATAATGCACTGATCACTGCAAGCTCATTGCAAAATTGATAAAATCATTTATCAATTTGCTGTACATATTTTGGTTTAATCTTTAAACTACCATGGCAATTACTATTGCGATGAGAAATGTCGAAATGTCTTGAAAGACCCGGATATCACATTTCGATAGTATACTTGTTGCCGGATAGTTTCATTTGTGTATTATAGCCACTATAAGAACATGAGTTATAAATGTTGAAAAACTAGAACGTTTATCAATAAATATTTGAAAAATGATTGAGTGTTCGTATCTGCTTAACTAAGACGACATTTGGCTGCTTACTAGAAAAACCGTAATTCGCACTGATGTCATTTGTTGAAGAATAAAAGGTAAGTAAAGTTTATTTTTGAAAATAGCCCAACTGTCCGTCAAAGCCAGAAAATGAAATGTCAAAAATACTGTAGATGATGCAAGGAAGCGGTTAGTGTCATCGTAATTGGCAGAACAACAACTGGTTCGAACCACTGCAATAGAAAGAATGTGATGTTGAAAGAGAGTGGCTACTTTGAAGATCATCTATTTACAGTTGTTAGGCATTAAAAAATACATAAACCATGTGAGTAAATATTAAGGAAGACCATTGACATGTATGTAGGACATTTAACAGATGAAACAAAAGAGAAGATAATTTCTGATAAAAGCAGTATACGACAATCTATCATAACCTAAAAATGTAGAAATCAATAAACTCTGACTGATGTCGTTAAAAAAAAAAAACTGTTAGCCACATGAACATCTTAACTGCTTCTGAATATTTCTAAGTAGTTATACAGAAGGAATCAAAAACCAGATGCTGGAAATCCTTGCCGTGGCGACCAAAACATGTGAAACTACCGATACAATTTTGACTACGTCGCAAGTAAAAATAAATTTCGTGAAGGACGTAAATAATCCAGGATGTTCTTTAAATACAAAAGTAAAAATCGTCGCTGTTTCATGATCGAGGAGTGGCAGTCAATTTAAAATGTCTTCTCTGCTTGCCACCAGAGCTCAAACTTTTGGCGTTGTCAGGTGATAGATTAATTAAAAAAAAGAGAGAAATAAGAAGCGCTGAGAAAGAGATGTGTGATTCAGGTTCATAAAAAATGTAATTTTTAATCCTAAGAAAAATGTTCCTGAGGTGTTCTCTTCAATGGCACTAAAGATCAACGTCGGGTATCAAAGTGCAAGCCTGGTCAAAGGCACAAAGATAATGCTGATGGCGAATAGGATTCTGGTGCGGTATCCCCGGAAAACCTTATCTACATAATATACTTGCAGCTAGAAGATTAGAACATTCGTATCATGACCCTTTAGAAAAACGAACTAGATTAGCACTGGAAAATCAAAGCTACCCTGTATGGTTCGCTAGTGGGCATCTCATAAAGGCGATGTTGAAGCGACGAAAATGTAAATTCAACCGAATCGAAATAGAAGATAGGAGATTTCAACGCCTTTGTTCACACCACCCTGAACATCTTGTTTTAGTTCAGCAACCACCTGTCACTTGAATGACAACTTAATATCATACTTTTTTTTTAATAATGCAAGCAGCGAAAAAGAAAGGTATACCAGTAAAAACCAACCCGATAAGACAAAATGACTTAACGGAAACTTCAAGTGAGATGAAGAAGAGCCAGAAAAAAAGCAGAAGTATTTACTTTTTCACTTCAATTTAATGTTCAGTTACAACAAGCTGAGTCAATCAGCACAAACAGGAAATCTGTTGCATCCTGACCGGAAACAGTTCTAGTCGCAACAATAGCAGCCAAAGCAACAATCTGAACAGCAATATGAAAATAGAATAGAAGTACAGGAGCCTAATCAACAAGGTCGACAACAGTCAGTGCTGCAGCTGTATTATCAAAACCCTAAAAACAAGAACAGTCAGCCTTCACTAAAATATCAACAGAAGTATCTGTACAAAGGACGGGGTTGTTCTCTATCTCGAACTGAATGTTTCTCTTTTTCCCATTTCACCAGCATTTCACCCTCAACAAGGCAATAAAGCCACTAAGACGCGAGGAGTTACTGAATGTTAGAGAATATAAAGAAAAATATTATTAAGGAGGGAGAATAATAAAAGAAGAAGAATTAAGAAGATATAAGTTAACGATTGATATTGCATTTAAATTTTTGAAGAAAAAAAGTTGATTGGGAAGCAATAAACCGGAAGAGAATTCCAAAAGCGATAAGTGTGATAGCGGAAACTGTGATAGCATAGAACTTACACTATCATCTAGCGGCCATTTTAACAGTAAAATGATGAGTCCTTGCCGCCAATCTATTACTGCGCTTAAATCCATAATATCTAGGTACTATAGAGGAAAGTTAATCAGAAAATTTACCACGAAAGTATTCATAGAAAAGCTATAGGGAAGTTATATTACGACGGCGGGAAATTGACAGAAGCCGAGATGCCAGGTCAGGACAAATGACATTGCTCATTCTTCTTTGGATTTTATCAAGAATATAGCAGGAGTATCTGATGTGTCTGCAATATTCAAAGCAAGGGCGAATGGTAGACTTATAA